TTAGTTAAAATTGTTATTACTTACCATCATGTTGTTCTAAATTCAGCTTTCTTTTTTAAGTGAATTAAATTTTAAAAATGTTATTTTTACGTGCAATTAAAATGTAGGGTCTGATGCTTTCGAACTTCAAAATGGAGACAAAACAAAAAAGGGATACGATTTGGCATATGTGGCTTATGTACCATGACCCACAATAGCAGAAAAAACCAAAAAATCCATAGTCAAAAGTCTTTTCTTTAGTGTTCTATTGGAGAAAGAAAGTCTCACAGGTTTGGAATGATATGAGGGTGAATAAGTGATGACAGAAATTTCATTTTTGGATGAACTGTCAGTTTAACCTCTCTTTCTCACTGATTCTTCTCTTCCTTAATCATTCCTTTCTCCCCAAGCAAATATTCTGTTATAGTAAGACAGTTTATGCAGTAAGTTGTAGGAACTGCTGTTTTATATGCTATCCTGTAGTGTGACCATCCTCTTGTAACTCAGGCTGGGATGTACCACGACACTCATATGGAGGATGGAACCTCATCCAAGGAAAACAGAATGATCTACAGTGACTCGATGCCTCGCAGAGTGGGAAGCTTTTACAGAGGTACCCAAAAATGTACTAGACATATTGTGAAATATTATTTATTAATATTATTTAATTAATTATTCTATTTTAATACATTTTCAAATCTAATTTATTCCTGTGATGGCAAAACTGAATTTCCAAAGCAGCCATTACTCCAGTTTTCAGTGTCAAAATAAATAACATTTATTTGAAATAGAAACCAATTGTAACATTATAAATGTCTTTACTGCCACTTTTGATATAATTAATGTGTCTTTCCTGAATAAAAGTATTATATTAAAAAAAGAATCCCCAAAAAAGCCCCAAACTTTTAAATGCTAGTGTATGTAAATACAGTACGTATTTATGTAATAATGTTTGACTTAAGCTTTGATATTCTAGCTTTTTTTTTTTTGTTCTGTCCTTTTGTGCAGTCCCCTCTCCTCGACCTGACAACTCGTTCCATGAGAGTGCCGGACAGAGTCGAGTCCCACCGGTGGCGGCGGAAAGCACAGCCATGACAAACCACCCCAAACGTCAGACCAATTTTGACCCCTGGTGAGAGAACACGCTTGTTAAGGCCCCTTGATCTAGACAAATTATTCCGTGTGCATCTACTTTGGCTGTAAGTTGATATGCTTTGTTAAGCTGGAAGTGACAGTAAATATATGGCTTCAAATGAAAAACTAGAACATCAAGGTAAAAATAAGTAGTGTCCTCGACAGTTTTGTATGAATAATAAAGCATGCCAACTTTACATTATCTCTAAATTTACTGGTGATAGACAGAAATATATTATAATTTTAGTTGAGCTTTTTTTTTTTTT